TTTTGCTTCTGACAGTGCTCCGCCAACATATTGACTGGTAGCTTTCCTGTCCATGATGCGCCGCCAATGACATCCTTCACGGACGGTTTCTTGGGCTCCTCCGGCACTCGATTTTTCGCTTCGCCGGCTTTCTCTGCGACGGCTTTGGCTTGTTTCGTACCCGGTTTGGGGCCACCCTTACCATCGCCTTTCTTCTTAGGTGGCATTTTGTGTGTGGTGAGGGTTTGCGAGATAACTTTTGGAGCTTCAGGCAAAAGAGCGGCCCGCACTAAACCGTTTTGGGATTGCGGGGAGCATACGGACGGAAGCAGCGACCGTGGGGGACTTAAACTCCCAACAGGGACATGTCTTGTACTCTTACTCGGTCCCTCGATATGAGAATTTGATTTTGTTGCCCAAAGGCAATGCTGTAGCTAATATCTACTGTGTGACCACGAGTCAGACTTCTGCACCAACCGTCATGTCCGGGGAGCACTTCAACCCGAGCAAGGATGACCCGAAGGAGCAAACTGGGACATCGGAAAAGAGAAATGCTTGTAATGATACCCAGAGTCTTCACTAAAAACAGCTTGACTGACATTATCGGGTTGACAGTTACCGAACTCCTGGCTCCCAAAAGCAAGCAACCTAAACACGCGACTAAAACCCCGTCTGACCGCAATGCGGCCAAGGGTAAGACTGCATTTGGTGTTCGTGACGGACTAGGCGCCTACATCGCAAAGCCTGAGACATACGCTCCCGATGTCGTAGTCTACCACAATGACGATTTTGTAGCGATACACGACATGTTCCCAAAGTCCTCGCTCCACCTCCTCCTTCTCCCCCGGGACCAGACCAAAACGCGCATGCACCCATTTGATGCTTTCGAGGACACCGAGTTCCTCGCAAAAGTGAAGGCTGAAACCCGAACACTCCGCAAGTTGGCAGCGGGCGAGCTGCGACGGAAATATGGGAAGGACTCTGCGCAGGAGCAGGCGAGACAGGCGGCGCTGAGCGCTGATCCGCCGCCGGATGAGCTACCGCAGGGTCGGGACTGGGAACAGGAGATTTTGGTCGGGTTGCATGCGGTCCCATCCATGAACCACTTGCATGTCCATGTATTATCGGTGGATAGGTATAGCGAGCGCTTGAAGCACCGGAAACACTACAATAGCTTTTCCACACCATTCTTCGTGCCAATCGAGGACTTCCCGCTGGCGGAAGACGATGTGCGACGGAATCCGACGCAAGAGGGGTATCTAAAGCGAGATTTTACATGCTGGCGCTGTGGTAGGGGGTTTAGGAATCGGTTTGTGGAATTGAAGCAACATCTGGAGCAGGAGTTTAAAGAATGGAAGAAACTGTGAGCTATCGGTGTGCTTGCGAAGATATACCAGTACTGGCCAAAGCAGGCACAGCATGGTATACAATGGGTTGAACTCTCCAAAAGTGATTCTGTTTGGCGTCCGTGGAAGCTAAACTGGGCCAAAATTCTTCTATTTGGTAGATATACGTGTCACTCGTGACCAGCAGTAGGGCCGGTGCATTTCCAGCGCGTGCCCAATGCTGCCCTCACACTAGACAAAAACTCTGAAAATGGTATACATTGAACAGAGTTGTCCCCTTCCTCCACCCGCGACACTGTCGCGTGTGCATTTACGCACGGGCCTTAGAGCGGCCCTTGACCTTGCGGGCCTCGGGACGGTTGATGTGGTGAGAGGGAATCCAATCAGCGTTGTAGGTGCTGGCAGAAGAAACTGCAGCACCGGTGGAAGTCTCCTCGGCAACCGGGGTTTCAACGCGCTTTGAGCCACCCTGGGTGCGCTTCTCGCTGGTCTTTCCGGACTTGCGCTTCTGGGGGAAGTAGGGAGCGACCCAAACGGTGTAGAAGAAGTAACCAGTGCCAGTGACACAGGCCAGCAGGAAGAAGTATAGGAAAATGCTGATTGTGATTCATTAGTCCCATTGCCCTCACACAACCAAGGTAAAAGGGGGGTATCCTACATCTGGGGGTCGAAGATGCTGGTATCCGCCTCCACGATGCTAACGGTGCCATTGTGAGCAACGATAGGAACCAAGCGACCCTCGCTATCTGAAACAATGGCAGAAAGAGTCATCTGGAGATCCTGGGGGTGCATCTCGGTTGCGAAGCTGTAGCTGATTGTCTCCTTCTCGCCAGCGGGAACCTCGATAGCATAACGAGTAGCAGTCAAGTTGCGGACAATTTTGGCCTGATCATCGGGGTTGCGAAGGCTACCACCGACAAAGTTTACCGTGATAGGGTTCGGCTCATCGTTGGAGATGGCGATCAGCGCCTGGGTAGGGTGACCGTTGACAAGCTTAATACCGAAGATCTCAGAAGCAGGGAAAGAGGCCTGGGCTGAAACAGCCAGGGCGGGAACTTCTGCTTCAGCATTCTCAGCATCCTACAAGTTCAAAACCAAATAGTCAGTCAATTGAGTCATGCGACACAGGTCCCCGAGACAAATCGAAGACGAAAAACATACAGCGGTAAAACCGGTGCCAACGAAGGCCTGGAGAGAGAGTAGAGCCAGAGAGAGGAAACCGAAGCGAGTCATCTTGAAACCGGAAGAGAGCAAAGAAAGAGAAAGAGAAACAGAAACAGGCAAAGGTCAAAGTCAAGATGAGGTGAAGGGGGATATTTGGCTCCACGTATGCAAAACCGGGGGGCTGACTCAGCCAGATAACACCCGCGGTCTTACATTGATTTTTTTTTTTTGAAGCAAAGACGACTATAAGTGCTCTCCTATATCAATTAATTTAATAAAGGTGGTCACTGATCATTTGTGATTACTGCGATTCCAACAATTTACGCGCTTTGTAGATTATCACCTCCTGCAAGCGCCTGCCCACCGGAATTTCCCTGTTGGCTTTGATCAGACTTGGGACTTGCTTCTCTCCCTTACTTTCTTTCTTCCTTATCTTCTGTCGCATTCATCCTCTTCGCAATTTCAACCATTTCCAGATCTTCAAAAGATACTTATCAATCTACAAAAATGGCGACCCAAGCTTATTTAGAGCGCTATCGCCAGCTAAGTGCTCTGGACCAGCAGAAGAATGACTTCATTGAGGTACGAACCCAATTCCTCCCTTGGTCCATGCTTCATTCTAACAAGACTCATGATAGGAACTCCTTCAACGTGTGACCGCCCTAGAGAATTCCTTCCAACAAGAGAAACTCGACCATGAACGCGAAACCCGGTTCAATCGTGAGGTGCAGGTGCATGAAATGGAGCTGATGGACCAGATATCAGTTGTCAAGAAAATGATGGTGAGCACAGCTGTGGACGCGTTGCCTAAGCTCAGGCTAATATATCCCTTTTTCCCTTCCAGGACCGCGAACCGTTCGTTGTGTTGCTTTTAGACGGCGAAGGAATAATATTCAAAGACGAATTTCTGCAACTAGGAGAACAGGGTGGACGCAATGCGGCCAAGCAGCTCTGGAAATCTCTCCAGGGTTATGTGACGACAATTCTTTCTACGATCACCGAGCCGAAGATAATGACCAAGATCTATCTTAATGTGAAGGGACTTATGGAGACTTACCTCCGGGGCGGAATCACGCTAGAGGCCTCCACTATCGGTGAATTTATTCGTGGATTCAATGAGAGTGCATCGTTCTTCGAAATTGTGGACGTTGGAACTGGCAAAAACAAGGCGCATGATAAAATCAAGGGTATGTGGTGCAACCTGACATAACAGAAACCGTTGCTGATTCGCTTCCTCCAGAGGCATTCAAGCTTTACTTATACAACTGCCATTGCCACCAACTCTTCCTGGGTTGTCCCTCCAACGAAGAATATGCTCGGTCATTGACAGAACTCATTTCCGGTGCGAATTATAAGGGCCGAGTCTCGCTGATTGAGGGTCTTCCACTCGAGAAGGAATTTGATTATTTCCGAGAGCAGGACTATCGAATCACCCAGTTCCCAGATGTTTTCCGCACCACAAAGATTGCTCCAATTACGTTGACTACAACGAGCGCACCGAATGCATCGAGTGCACCGTCTTGGGCTGCTCCCTGGAAAAGCGCAATCCCTTCGCGGACTTTGCTCACACCTTCGCCAACCCAGCAATTCCAAACACCTGCTCCTCTGTCACGAACCTCTACCAGCACCAGCGTGTCAAATCTGGGCGCCCCATTAGCCCCAGTGACAAATAAACCTGAGTCTTCTGATTTCCAGGTTGTTCGGTCCAAGGTGCCCGGTGTAGCCCCCCCAAAGACGGTGGAACGGAATAAGTATGGCCAGCGTGTTGATCGGCTCGACTTCAAGAGCATTCCTCGTGATGATCTTAACAAACTGAAGAAGCTCAAGCTTTGCAATTATCATTTCTTGCTCGGTGAATGCCCTAATGAAGAGAACTGCTATCATGACCATGATCGCAAATTGTCCCGCCAAGATCTGCACATTCTGTCTGCCATTGCCCGCATGACACCCTGTCGCTTTGGTTTAGAATGCGATGACGTCGAATGTATCTACGGTCATCGTTGCCCTCAGAGCGAGCCTGGTAAAAAGACTTGCTTCCGAGGAGAGAGCTGCCGCTTTGAGCCCGTGGCGCATGGTATCGACACCAACATTGTCAAAGTTACGAAAATTTGAGTGGCAATCTCGCAATCTTATGCTCAACTCGGGCTATCTGAACCTTTCGCACTTGCAACAGGGTCCTAAAATATTGTCTATTGAGTCGGCGTGACCAGATTGAGGTCTCACGGGGAAAAGGTTCAAGGGAAGCACCCATGACATTATCAGAATTTCGATCATTCGGGAGTTATGGATGGTGCATGAGAGCAGGCTTGCTATACAGTCATTGAGAATTCAAAGTTGTTTTCTTTTCCTTTCCATGCGGGGTGAAAAGGGCGGTTCCAGGCGCAAAAGACTATGTACTATCTATCTATTCATTCGACATCTTAAATTGTATTAGTATAAAGGATGAATGCACACGAATTTATTTAGGGGGTATTTGAATTGATAATATTACAAGAGTGTGGATCGTAGAACCTATGTGTGGATAGTCGTGCCGAACATGGCAAATCGTCTCTCCCATCCAAAGCAATCAGGGTGAGTGCACATCCTGCTGTCGATATTCATGGCATTGGGATCTTTGCCATGGGTGCACTGGACGCCATATTCCTTGATGCAGCACTCGAATGGGCACGACTTGACCGGTCCCCAACTCTGTTGACCAGAAGCCATGGCTTTCGACTTCTCCTCCTCGAGATTGCCCCATAGGAGGAAGAGCTTCTCTTTTATTGCTTCCAGTCTTCGCGGGTTGTCGCGGAGGTTGAATGCATTATCGTCCAGAAGACAATCGCCATCTTGACCGCACACATAGAGCTTCATCACCTCTCGGGGCTGTTGATTGGAAGGTTTGGGCTCAGCCCCCTCCACAAGAAGACAGAACCGCCATTCCCAGCCAAATTTAGGCTCGATGGCACCGTCATGATCACTGAATAAGGGAGCACTAGTGGTTTGAATTGCAAAGTCTTCTACCTTTGGGGGAAAGAAGTCGAGCACTCGGACTTGAGAGCGATAATTGACGTTTTGAAAGGGAAGCTGGTAGACAATCCCTCCTGGAGCATTGTTTATATGTGTTTCTGCCAACAATATCTTCTCGAGAGGTAGAGTAGGCACTGTGTACTTTCTTGTTTTGACTAGACATTTATCAGCCAATATGCTTCTCCTAAGCAGACAATCAACTCACCATGTTGATTCAACTTGATTCGTGATGCTGCTGGCATGGTCAGTTGGCCTTCTTCTTTTCGGGCCTCCCTTTTCTGCTCGACTCTCTTGTTCCTTTTTTTGGCTTTTTTGGTATCTGCCTTGGGTTCACCGTGGATCTTCCAGTATTCTGTCCGACGGTTCATCAATTCTCGTACACGTTCGTCATTGCCACCATCCACCTTCCTGACATGGATCTTCTCCGGGAATCGTCTGTCTTCATGAACAGTAGCTTCCAAGCCACCACGCTGATCTTCCTTGATACGGGCATATGTTATTAGAGTGATGTCACCTGGCTTGAGGTGTTCTCGGGCATAGGTGCCATGCGGCTCCCATAAAGTCACTTGAAGGGTCAATTTACCCCATGGGCCTGGCCAGTTCTTTTTCTTGTGTATGTAATTAAATCGGTCGCCTTCAGGGCCTGACTCTTCATCTTCTCCGGGTTTCTTGTAGTTGACAAGGCGCTCATTTTCAGTAAAATCAGTCAAGTATAGTGTACATTTCTCGCTGTCGTAAGTATTGATGCTCACAACTTGGCCAAGTAACTGACACAATAGGCGGTCCTTCGCAAACTGAATAGGGATACACGGTAACCCTCCAGATTTTGGGGACGGAACGGAAGCCTGAACATGGGAAGATTGTTGAAAGGCGGTTGCACTACGCGGCGTGGGTTGTTGCACAAGGATACTTTCGGCAGATACGTGATCCAGGAGTGATTGTGCCTGGTCCTTTTCCTTCAAACTCGGCTCGAAAGGCACAGGACCACTGGTGATGAACGGGCTTGAACTTGGCTCTGGTCGAAAAATAACCCATGACACATTGGAATGCTGAGAGACAACCCCTGTTGGTCTGTTCTGGTAGATTGTCACCTGAATCGTATCAGCTTACTAGGCTGTTGCATTCATGTAAACCCACTCACCCGGACGTTCCGTAGTAGGACTACATCTTTGAGCTCGACGTTGGGAAGGTAGCTCTCATCATCATTAAAATATTTGATTTTGAGACCACCTTGCCAGCCCGGTGCATCAAAATCAGAGTCTTTAATCGTGAATGTGATGCATGCCGATGAGCCTCTGGTCCGATAAAGTGGTAGTCTGTCAATAACCACCCCCAGGACATTGAAGTTCCCTTGTGAAGAGCAAGCGGTGGCAATGTCCACTATATCACCTGGAGCCATGTCTTTTGTGGATGGGAGGACCTTAGGGTAGACGTCCTGCAAGCTCTCACGAGATATCACAAACCAACTCAGAAATTATGTACGCTTTTGTCAATGTACATCCATCATAGAGCAATTGCTATGGATAAACACCCAAAAGAAGGAGAATTGTAAGAGCTCGAGGAGGAATAGGTTGCTGTCCAAACCCGTGAATGTAAATAAATGAGCAATCACGTGATAATATCGTTTCCCCTCCCACAGAACTCTTCTCCCCCACATCAGATCTCTCTCTCTCTTCCTTCTTCCTACTCTCCTTCCATCCCCCAGCGCGCCCACTCAACATCACCCACTACATAATCGACTCCCGCGGCGCGCTTAGTTTCTTCTTTCTATCTTCATCATGGCGGAACGCTATATTCCCGAACATCGCCGCACGCAGTTCAAGGCCAAGAACCAGTTCAAGCCCGATGAGCTCCGCCGCCGCCGTGAAGAACAGCAGGTCGAGATTCGCAAGGCCAAACGTGATGAGAACTTGGCCAAGAGACGTGGTATCCAAACCCAGGACGGTAGAATCGGCGTTGGTGGCATGGCTGCCGCCACTGAGAGTGACGATGAGGCCAGTGCTATTGAGAGTGAGGTAGGTCTTGGAATTTTCTTTGATCCTTTTGAATTTGTTTCATTCTATATTCCAACTTGTCTACGGGCTCATGGTGTGGTTGCCATCCCCACCCCCCTGGGTTCTTGAGATTTCTTTGTTTTTATGATGCGATCATCAACAAGGAATTTTTTTCACCGCCCTGTTGCCATGGCCCACGAAGCCCCTCCAACCCGGATCTTCGAGCCCGCGCCCCACTGCAATAAAAAAGCAATACTGCGAAAATTACCAAGCTAACTAATGGATCATTTAGCTCAGCGTCGAGCTTCCCCAGATGGTGAAGGGAGTTTTCTCCGATCAAGTTGAGGAGCAGATTCAGGCCACCACCAAGTTCCGCAAATTGCTTTCTAAGGAGCGCAACCCACCTATCGAGCGTGTTATCGAGACTGGTGTCGTTGCCCGTTTCGTCGAGTTCCTTCGCTCGCCTCACACCCTGGTTCAGTTTGAGTCTGCCTGGGCTTTGACCAACATTGCATCCGGTTCCGCCCAGCAGACCCAGGTCGTCATTGAAGCTGGTGCCGTTCCCATCTTCGTCGAGTTGCTTAGCAGCCCTGAGCCCGATGTCCGTGAACAGGCCGTGTGGGCCCTCGGAAACATTGCTGGTGACAGCCCTCACTGCCGTGACTTCGTTCTGGGTGCCGGTGCCCTGCGCCCGCTTCTTAACCTCATCAACGATGGCCGCAAGCTGAGCATGCTCCGCAACGCTACTTGGACTCTTAGCAACTTCTGCCGTGGCAAGACTCCCCAGCCTGACTGGAACACCATTGCCCCCGCTCTTCCCGTCCTTGCCAAGCTCATCTACATGCTGGACGACGAGGTCCTGATTGACGCTTGCTGGGCTATCTCTTACTTGTCCGATGGTGCCAACGACAAGATCCAGGCCGTTATTGAGGCCGGTATCCCCCGTCGTCTGGTGGAGCTCCTTATGCACGCTTCTACCTCTGTCCAGACCCCCGCCCTCCGTTCCGTGGGTAATATTGTCACTGGTGATGACGTCCAGACCCAGGTGATCATCAACTGTGGCTCTCTTCCTGCTCTGCTCTCCCTCCTGAGCTCCACCAAGGACGGTATCCGCAAGGAAGCTTGCTGGACCATCTCCAACGTCACTGCTGGCAACTCCAGCCAGATTCAGGCAGTTGTCGACGCTGGCATTATTGCTCCCCTTATCAACCTGCTCGCCAACGGTGACTTCAAGACCCGCAAAGAGGCTTGCTGGGCTATCTCCAACGCCACTTCCGGTGGTCTTCAAAAGCCCGATCAGATCCGCTACCTTGTTTCGCAAGGGTGCATCAAGCCCCTCTGCGATCTCCTGGCCTGCCCTGACAACAAGATCATCCAGGTTGCTCTCGATGGTCTTGAGAACATCCTCAAGGTCGGAGACATGGACAAGGAGGCTGGCCAGCCCGGTGAGGCTCGTGTCAACCGCTATGCTCTCTTCATCGAAGAGGCTGGTGGCATGGAGAAGATCCACGATTGCCAGAACAACGCCAACGAGGAGATCTACATGAAGGCCTACAACATCATCGAGAAGTACTTCTCTGATGAGGACGAGGCCGGTGGTGATATTGAGGAGCTTGCTCCCCAACAGACCCAGACTGGATTCGCTCTCGGCACTGGCCAGCAGCAACCTGGTGGCTTCAACTTCGGCAACGGCGGTGATAGCATGGATATGTAAAGACTTGTCTTTTGCCCATGCACTGTCCCCTCCTGTATCTTCTTCCATTTTTCAAAACCAAACGTCGTCGAAGCTGCGCCCAGCATATTCTCGCATGGACGGGGCACCACTGGCTACCGAGAGACCAGATTGCTCGCATGCAGCCTCGACGCATCTCGTGCGCTTCGACCAAGCTACTTCTCGGTCTGGCGTTGCCTCTAAACAGCTTCTAGTGCTCGTTCGATTCCCTCATCTTCTCTTGTCACGAATTTCACTTCCCCTTCTTCTTTTTTTTGATTTCACGATAAACAAGATTCACCATCATGTATCCCCTCCCCACCCCTTTAGCATCCTCATACACAGGCGCATTTGTTTGCAGGATCGGTTTTCTCTCTCCAGTTACGTTAATGTCCCCTGACTATGGTGTTCCTTGACGGGGCATTGGTCTCCTGCGCAGGAACTTCCTCGCTCACTGGCAACAGGGGTGTGATGGCATATTTTGCTCGTACCACGCTCATAATCTGCTGAAATCATGCCCTTGAAAATGTTATTGCGCTATTCTCGTGGTACACTTTGCAGTTCGCCAGGAAAAAATGCCAGATTTCATTTGATCAACCTTTTCTTCCTGTAGTTGTATTCCAGTAATATTCTTATCTTCCCTACAATTTGTATTTGTATTTTTTTCCCTCTCGAGAGCATATGAAGTTGATGCTGGACCTCCAAGCTTTCAATGTTAAAATGCTAGCTAGAAGAAGCTCTAAGGTAGTGAAAGACGAAATAAATCAAGGTCTATATGTGCCGGTGATAGCAGAACCCAATTTTGTCCTACTACACTACGATTCGATATCAAGATTTCAAAAATCACAGCAAAGACCAGAGGGGAATAGATTGAGTTCAAGCCAATGAAGGAGCAGCAAAGCAATATCAAGAGAAGTGTATAAGATACAGGTTGAAAAGAAGTCCATATCCACGCAAAACGAGAGCAAAGAAGAGAGATACAGTTAATTCAAGCCATAATCCATAAGAAAGTAGAGGGAGGAAAAAGGAACAAGAAAAGAAAGAAACAAACAATGAGACGACAGGGAAAAAGCTCCTTTCGCTCAGGCACATGTTAACGCCAAATAAGACAAACTAAATCAGTCACCCATCACCTCATCCTCATCAGCCTCAGGCGGAGGGGTGAGTTCCTCGTCCTCGTCCCCATTCTCAAGCTCAACACCCTCCTCGACAAGCCCGCGCGCACGCAGATCCTCCTCATCATCTTCCTCAACAGGCTCAGGATGGTCATGCTCATCATCATCATCGATGTGCTCAGCAGACTTGAAGCCCTTAGGCGAAGCAGCAGGCTTGGCAGGCTGTTTTCCTTTGGCGCGGGGGGCGCTGCGGGCTTTACGTTCTTCCAGATAAGACAGGACCTCTCGGTAGTTGTGGCCGAGGGCGGTCTTATTGCGGAGGAGACGCTTCTTGAGGACGCCGCGCTTGGAGCCGGAGGCGTCGATGATGCGTGCGATGATGGTGAGGACGAGCTTGCCTGTCAGCTCGCAGAGGCGCTGTTCGGCGACGATGCTGCCGCGGAGGCGGTCGTTGATGACTGCTTCGTCTCCGGAGTCGCTGGCTTCATCTTCGGAGTCGAGCTCGTCTTCTGAGGCAGGGGCGTCGTCGTCTGCTGGCTCGAGCTTGAGTCTTGATTTCTTGGCGCACGTGCGCTCGGCTATGCTGTGGATCTTGGTGATGAGGGCTTGCGTGTCAGGTCCGATTTCATGGATTAGGCCTTGGGTTTGGAAAAGGACGTCTTTGTCGTTGCCTTTGTCTTGGCCGACGTTGCGGAGTGTGCTGAAGAGCGTTTGCAGGTCTAGGTATGTTGTGGTTGCTGTGAAGCGCAGATCGTCCAGCCCTGAGCGCGTTTCCATGATGTTGACGAGCGTTGACGCGAAAGTTTCGCGGCTCTTTGTCAGTGCTTCGAAGTAGGATGTACTAAAGGAAGCTTTCCCATCATTTAGGGCTGTGGACAGCGCCTGCACCTTCCACATGAAATAGAAAAGCAACGACCGGATACTGCTTGATACCAGCTCGTTCTCCGCCTTGGCAGTATCCTCATCCTCATCCTCGCTGCGCAGACCACGTTCGGCAAGACGAATGAGGGTGTTGAATGGGGCTTCGGTGTTGTCCTTCTTGTATTTCGATCGTGAACTAGGGACAGTTTCGAGAATGGAGGCACAATCCGTAATACCGGCAAGGTTCGAAATTCGAGAAACAGTGTTGGTCAGGTCAGTGAGAGTGGGCTCGGATACTGAGCCACCTTCCTGGACGTCCTTCTTCCGGGACAAGGCAGCCAGTGTCTCCGCCATATCATCCCATAGCTCTTGGACCTTGCTCTCTAGCGCCTCTCGCATCTCCTCGGAGCTCTTGGCGTGCAAGAAAGCGACACTAGCTTCGGCCAGAACATCGTGATCCGAATGAGTCAAGAATTGCTTGTTGATATCATTGAGCAACGAGGTATAAGCCGTGGCGTCTTTTTGTAGATCCTGAATTGTGTTCAAGTCCACAAGGTGTTCCAGTCGCAGAACGGCAGAAGCAGCTTCCGGTGTGGACCCAAACTTATTGAGAAGTCCTGGGATGATCTGAGCAAGGTTGTGAGAAAGTTCCTCTTGGAGCTCAGAACTCTTGGCTGCCAGAGCCTTGGTCTTGCGCCCACGCTTGTCGATATCAGAC